ACAACTTAATTTTATATACAATAATTAATTATCCATGTTGGAAATAACGCTTCTTGTCCGATCAGCGAAGTTAAGCAATGTTGGGTCGATTAGTACTTGGATGGATGACAGCCTGGCCCTTCGAACTCCAGATGCTGCTGGCATAAGGACTCTATTGGAAACAAGCTTCTCGTGGGTTTTTCAGTTGTCCTTGGTCTTATTACCTGAATGTAAATTATTACAACAAAGACTAAGTGAGAGGTGTTTAAAAAATTCATGGCAGAAGCACCTGAAATAGAAAAGTGAATGATAATACCCATTTTTATATTAGTGTGTGTGAAGGATTTGTGAGCTGTGTGACCTCCGACTGTAAGGTTACTTGTAGTGAAATGCACCGTGTGGGTATTCTGAACAGCTATACCTCCCTTAAACCCACAGTACCTCCTCCACAACCACACAGTACCTCCCACACACCTACACAGTACCTCCCACACACCTACACAGTACCTCCCACATATCCACACAGTACCTCCTGCAAACCCAAATGTTACCTCCCGCACACCCACATAGTATCTTCCACACACCCACACGGTTACACAGTACCTCCCACACAGCACCGCCCAGCACGACCATTGTCTGTGTAACCGAGAAGTTCATTATCTTGGTTTGAGAAGTTCTAAAAATATCCACCTACCAGCACAGAGTGTCTTGGCGTAAAAATAAAAGTATTTTTTTAATCTTTTGTTCGGCGGTGTGCATACGGAGATGGAATATATTCGTCATTCCTGGTTACTGTTTTAGGTTAGGTTATGTTTAGGTTAGATTGTGTGTTATGTTATGCCTAAATTAGGTTAGGTTAAGATCCGATTATTTTAGGTTTAGGTTAGGTTAAGTTATATTTAAGTTAGGTTTTGTTTAGGATAAATAAAATTATATTTATGTTAGATAGGTTAAGTTTAGGTTAGGTTATTTTCATGTCAATTAACTTTGATTATATGCGGTGACGTTAATTTCAAGTAGGCTGCGCTGGTTTCAGTTAGGTTAGGCTATGTTAATTTAAGTTAGGTTACATTACGTTAGTTTCAGTTAGGTTTCGTTTATTTCAGGTTAGTTTGACTTACGATACGTTACGTTAGTTTTATTTAGGGTAAATAAGTTCGTTTACGGTAGTTTACTTTAATATACTGTAGGTTATATTACATTAGCCCCCGATTTGGTTAAGTTAGTTTAATTTAGATTAAGTTCCAGTTAGGTTAGGTTAGGATACGTTACAGTTAGGATGCGTTACAGGTAGAGTAGGTACAGGTACGTTAGCTTCAGTTAGATGGATCAAGATCATAATAACCAAAACTTAGGCCTTTCAAATTTTCTCATTACTTTACGAGGCTACACCAAGTTAACCACCTCTATCAACAGTCTCTGCTAACATGAAAAGTTAATATGTGAACCTAAGCGAGTGTATGTACACAGCCTCAGACGGCGGACCGTCTCATCAGGCTTCTGGGAAAATGTTGATCACGCCGACCTGCTCTATTTACAAGTCGTCATAACACCAAACGTCGACATTTCAACAGTGTGATAAATACAACTTCACCTTCCTCTTTTCTTAGTCATTCTTGAATCTATCTCCGACATGTATGTCTATCCTCAGATTCATCCACTCTCACTCACCATGAAGAGTGAGTTTTTTCCCAGCTGAGAAAAGATGCCCTGCCCCCTCCCTCCTCAAGAGTTACAGTTGATTGACTGTTACAAATCTGTCCGATTTCATCCTGAAGGAATGATGTATTTTTAAATTAGTTTATTCATAATCGTTGGGGTTACCGTTTCTGACGAGAAAGATATTTAGCTAAATTATATAAAGATATATACATTCATAATTTCAAACATGAGCACGTAGGAAGTTTATGAGAAATCTTCTACATGAATTAACTGTTTAACTTTGGGAACAAATTCACGCTTTCGGAGGACGCATTTAATAAATATTTATTTTTACCAACAATAAGGCAAACTAAGACAAATTACGTATCATTAAAACTACATTATGCAGTCATATTTCCCACCTCTACTGACGACTTCGCTCGAGCGGCCAAGTCTGTCGCACTCATCCACCAATTTTCAGGGGGCATGTAATATTTCAGTGTGATTCTGATCTTTTAAAATGTTAGCTTTTGCATAATGAAGTTTTACTGATACGTAATTTGTCTTCGTATGCCTTATTGTGGGTAAAAATAGGTATATATTAAATGCGCACTCCTAAAGCGTAAATTTGTTACCAGAGTTTAACAGTTAATTCATGTACGTATAAGATTTCTGATAAACTTCCTACGTGCTCTTCTTTGAAATAATGACTGTATGTATCTTTATATAATTTAGCTAAATATCTTCCTAACCTAAAAGATTTTCTTGGCCCGTGTGACAACTGTAACCAGTAACTATTCATCAAATTGCTGTCTTATGTAGAGTCACAGGAGATGGAGAGTGTTCTCTCTCAGACGTGCAAATAGTAAATGATAATTTATCATTATTATATTTCTTATTTTCATTATTATTATAATAATCATCAACCATCCACTGTTTTCAAGCGATGACTCAAGCGTCAAACATTTGCAGCGATAATCAACGAACCAGAGAGGAAGTCCCCTCATTTTTAATTGTAGATGACTAGTGTAATTATTTAGCTTAAAGACCTTAGTTGATGAAGCGCAACATCAGACTCAACCAACAGCTTTGACGCTGGTATGGCTAACGAGGTGACTTCCTTGTTTTTCATTCAATATTTAAACTTCAAAATGTCTCATAAAACCTATCTTAACCAATTTTGTGGCTGCCTCACACCCTAGTCTCTAACCCAAACCAACTAAACTTAATATAACTAGATATAACCTAACCAAACCTACGCTAATCCAATATTCCTTAACCAAACCAAACCAACGCTAATCTAATGGTCCTTAACCAGACTTAACCTAACCAGACCAGGCCTAAGCCTATCTAACCTAATATAACCAGATCTAACCTTATCTAAACTAACCTAACCCCACCTGACCTGATTTAATCCAACGGTCTAACCTGTTTAGTCCTAACCTAATCACACTGAAGTTCTCTTAACCCAACCAAATCTAGCCTAACCTGACTAATACTAAATAGTGTTGCTAGCTTTAGGATAGAATAGATTATGTTAGATGAGTAGTTATTTGGTTACGTTTATAATGGGTTAGGTTAAATTAGTGTTAGATAGGTTAGTATTAGATTGAACTACGTTTTCTTGCTTAGCTCAATATAGGTTGGGTTAGGTTCGGTTAAGTTGTTTGCAGGGACACACACACACTGAGATAATTGGCTTGCTAGGAAAATACTCAGTTCTCGCCTCTCGTCACATTCTAGGGTCAACACCAAGTGAAACCTGGGCGTCAACCTCCCTAGAGTTGTGTGAGGAAGTGTGTGTTTGAACGAGAGCATGTTTGATTGAGTGTGTGAGCAAGTGTGTCTCTGAGTAAGTGTGTTTGAGCACGACACAATGACTCGGTGATTGTATGGACGATAACTGACGACACATTTTTTGCTATATGAATCTGCTGACCGGACCATATTCCCCACTTTTTGACATACAGTACTTCAATTCCAGATAAGCACTTTCAGTTCACTTTCAAGAGACTTTTTAAAATATGCACATTGATAAGTCAGGGAACGCTCTTTTTCACGTCGGTTTATAGTATGTTGCATTTATAAAACTAGCTATTAAATGGTTCTCTACTTGTCCAGTATGAGATAAATTTGATATCCATCTTTTAGTCACAAGGGCTCAGACTAACTCAAATTTCATCTTGAACCACAAGCCTTTATGAAAATATTAAATTTCAGTGGCTTCCCTCTTAACCTCGTTGACCGCTCACACGGGGAAGCAAGTGAATGAAACCACACACTCACACAGCCAGCTACTCCTATACTACTACATCAATCGTTTATTTAAATTATTTTATCATTCAATACCAAGGACCTTGCAGCTGTTCCCTCAGAAACAAATTTATGAAGTTACTGAGAGCATTTTTTCCACCATTTCATTATGAGTACCATTCAGATGAGAGAACATCAAGTAAAGAGATAATCCTTAATGATCCTCGTTTGTTTACTTATACTTATGCAATATCCCCCCATGCATAATTACTTCATCGTTGTTTACCACAATGCATTGTGGGGGAAATTGGAGTCACTTCTGCCAAAGTTTGTCAGAAGTGCGTGTTATTAGGTTGTTTTTTGTTTTTTTTACGGGGATTAGCACACCCGGGCACAGGTCACTGACCCACATCGGGGTCTGGGAGGGTGGCGAAAATGTAATAATAATAATTCATTGTAAATAAAATTTATAACACGAAATTGAAAATAAAATAATTAAATAATAATATAATAATAAAGGACAAAAAATTAATAAACTAAAAAAAAAAGATAAATAGTGAGAAATTATATATGTATGCTGTGTTAACAAAGTAAAAGAAACAATTGAAACCCTGCAGTTGTGTGTAAATGAGGCAGAAAGTCGGGTCAGCAGCCTGGGACATGGTCACAGTTTTAGTGATGCCATATGGCAGCAGGGTCTACCATTAGACAATACGTTATGCTTCCAATAGCTTCCCAGGCGGTAATACATCCCTGTTAGTTAGTTGCCTACTGTTATACCTGCGTTTCAACAACTAGGGTGTTTAAGCGCGTAACAAGGTTAGTAACTACACCATTTTATCAACAATTAAAAATTATGAGAGATATATCTTTCGTGTTAAAGGAGAGGATAAGATGATAATGAATTTTCAACTCTTCGTCACCCAACCCCTGTAGGTAATTCGGATTTTAGTTATCTTATGTCTGTTCTTATTGGTATTGTGGAAACAATGAGTTTCAAAATAAATTGAATTAATTTCAAAGCAGTAATTACTGTTAAACACCTGTAATACGTGGTGATGTTTCATACCTGGCGCTCGTCAACCTCTTGGCACCGTATCAGCTGATCGATTCATAACAAACATGGCGGCCTTAGCCAGGCGAACCCTCCCGAATTTCCAGTTACGAAACCGATTTTCTCAATGTTCAAAGACTTTTAAAACAAATGTGTCCCATGGAAACATCAGTAATAACCCAAGAATGTACCTGTATGGCACGGCAGTCGCAGCCTCTGCATACTTTGGATGGAAATGGCTTGAGAAACAAGCAGTGGTTCAAGCAGCCAAACCTACTCGTCGAGTGGTGAGTTACGATAACAAAACGTATTTTTGCCTCTTATGCGAGGTATAATAACAGAGTAGAAAGTAAGCTCAGATTGCACCTCATTATTTCATGATATTTTAGAAAAGTGACAAGGCAAGCTATTGTCCTAAACTATGTACAAAAAAACATGTTTTTCACTGACGCAACACAGTGGTGCCAGGGTACCACCCATAGGACGGTCCGACTAATTACCCAAATGTACCCAAATATAGCCGCAATGAAGTCAAATAATGGTCCTAGATGAATAAATCGGACTGCTAATCACTTCTCGACTGGTATTTGGTGTCAGAAAGTCACAAAAAATTGGAAAACTTACTTTAATCTGAGCTAATAGATCGCGTGCATGTACCGACGGAGCGAGGAATTACCCAAATGTAGCCGCAATGAAGTCAAATGATGGTCGTACAAGCGTAATTCGGGCTGTGAATCACTTCTCAATAATTATTTGGTGTCATAAAGTCAAAAACAAATTGGTAAACTTAATTTAATCTGAGTTGTGTTGTGTTAGGTTAGGTACACGCACTTGATCTATTAACTCAGATTAAATTAAGTTTACCAATATTTTGTGACTTTGTGACACCAAATACTCATCGAGAAGTGATTGGCAGTCCGATTTATTCATCTAGGACCATTATTTGACTTCATTGCGGCTATATTTGGGTAATTCCTCACTCCGTCGGTACATGCACGCGATCTATTAACTCAGATTAAAGTAAGTTTTCCAATTTTTTGTGACTTTCTGACACCAAATACTCGTCGAGAAGTGATTGGCAGTCCGATTTATTCATCCAGGACCATTATTTGACTTCATTGCGGCTACATTTGGGTAATTAGTCGGACCCCCCATAGGAACTTCACCCAGCTATGCGATGGCTAATTTTCTAATGCACCCATACTTCATGCTTTCTTACCCTAATATCGGTGTAAGGTGAACTGTGAACAAATTACAAAATGTTTGTGTGAGGAGATAAAATGAAAGTTGAGTGTCAAGGTTTAATCATTGACATAATTAGATATTTGGTAATACATTATGACTGTTGCTTCCCTTAACCATAAAATTGGGAGGGAAATTTTTTTTAAATATTATTTTTGACATTGGTCGAAGAACCTAATTTTTGTGAACACCTCTGATACCCTTTTCGTGGACTGTTAACCACCAAGTGCTGCACAGCATCAATTTCCTCCTGTGTCCTTGTGGTCTTTGGTATACCTGATGCCCCTTAATTGGTACTGTACGGGTATTATTATTTCAGTCATCCAGTGGATTTTAGAATTTTAAGTGTTGGAATTGGTAGTTTAGGCAATTCTAAGACTCGTTTCTTCTGTAGCATATCTAACGCAAATTATTACTTTCCGAGAAAATCGCAATAAATTGTTGGAATTTTTTTTTTTTTTTCTAAGTTCTTGTTTATGTTACCACCGTCACAAAGAGCTCCTGTGTGTTCATTTGTTGGTTACTATATACTGCATTATGTATGTGCTAGAGTCTGATGCTTGCACAGTTGTTCTTTGGATGTTGATTGTTGGGTATGATTTGGGATCAACCAATCACAGTTTGGTATAGGCCCCCGCCACCACCCACATGAATTTGAATTTATTTCCAAGGTGTCTCCGTTGTGCAATGACTGTGATTTCAATTACTTACAAACCATCCCCAGATTAAACAGCGATTATTTCGGTAAAGCTGGAGAAGCGTGGAAATTTCTACACGAATTGCATCCTTGTAGTTACCAAGCTTAAAAACACCTTTGGTACTGTGGGAGAAGAAATGTTATTCCCAAGTCTAGCAAGAGGAAGAGGTGCAATTATAGTGTCACACTACAAAGGAACATTTCTCTATGGCGCAAATCTGGAACCATGGAAACTGGTCTTATTTGTCAATCATTGGCTCCATAAGGTCTGGGACCCCAACTCAGAGTCTTATGAGTCTAATTAAGGTAAGCACACAGGTGGATAGATTAGGTTAGGTTTTGGATGATTCTGACCCTCATTTCTATCACAAATTATTATATTTTTTATTTCCCCCCACCCAAAACCCCTGGTTACCACTTGGGGTCCCCCGTTATTGTTGGATAAGCAGGGGGGGGGGGATAGCTCAAAATGTAGTGATTTGTGATAGAAATGAATGTCAGAATTGTTGAAAACATATAAAAAACCATCGGTAAAACATAATTTCAACTTCCATATAGGTGGATGACCGAAATGATAATTTTACCCCATTATTTAGGTTATAAACTGTTCTGCTTTCCTTAAATTTGGTCACAGTGAGTCTGTGAGGGCCAGGTGGTGGTGGTGTAGTGTGAGGGCCAGGTGATGGTGTAGTGTGAAGGCCAGGTGGTTGTGGTGTAGTGTGAAGGCCAGGTGGTGGTGTAGTGTGAGGGCCAGGTGGTGTTGTAGTGTGAAGTCCAGGTGGTGGTGTAGTGTGAAGGCCAGGTGATGGCGGTGTAGTGTGAGGGGCCAGGTGGTGGCGGTGTAGTGTGAGGGCCAGGTGGTGGTGGTGTAGTGTGAGGCCAGGTGGTGGTGGTGTAGTGTGAGGGCCAGGTGGTGGTGGTGTAGTGTGAGGGCCAGGTGGTGGTGTAGTGTGAGGCCAGGTGGTGGTGTAGTGTGAGGGCCAGGTGGTGGTGGTGTAGTGTGAGGGCCAGGTGGTGGTGGTGTAGGTGGTGGTGGTGTAGTATGAGGGCCAGGTGGTGGTGCACTGGCGGTGTAGTGAAGGCCTGGTGGTGGTGGTGGTGTAGTGTGAAGGCCAGGTGGTGGTGGTGTAGTTTGAGGCGTCGGGCAGGTGGTGTCTCAGCAGGACATAATAAAGAAGATGGTGGAGGTGACCTTGTATGGCCCTCCTGAGCCACCTTCATGCATACCTGATGGTTCACCTCACAGTATCCTGGTCCTCCTTGGTGGTCTGTGTGTGTGTTTATGCATTTGGATGTTTATGTATGTGTGTTTACATGTGTTTGGATGTGTAAGTGTGTGTGTTTCTGGAATTTGGTGTGTGTTTGTATAATTATGTGCTTCTACGTATGTGTTTCTATGTGCATGTTTATGAATCTATGTCTGTCTCTGTATGAATGTACAGGTATATGTTTGCTTTTATATAATGACCAGAGAAAAGAGTCCACGGGTGAGATTTCCTGTAGGTAACGACGGCGGATGTAAACAAGATTACGCAATCTCTCTCATGTCTGTCCTTCAGCTATTTGATAAAGTGACAACCGACACCTTGGAACATGTTGATGACACTTTATTAACGTTTCTCATCGTCAACAAATAGAAATGTTAAAAATTAAATTTTTCATTATTAGCTACAAATTTTGAAGCGTAATGGACTCCTACCCTGATTCTGAAATTCACTTATGTTTCAAATTTGAAGTGTAGGCCTAATGGATAAGACTCTTTACTGCGGCTGCTTAACCATTTGAGGATGATGGTTAAGTTCTATGAGCCCCCTTGTTTTTATTTAGGCGTAGGTTAACCTTGCAATATCGAAACATTTCATTAACCGCCAGAAAGATAATGCCCTGATATTGTGACATTACCCACAATAAAATTACTGGGAAGGTGATTATGGCATGGTCAGGAATGTGTTTTAGTGTGGGTCAGTTCTTTGTCTGGGCATTACGAGTGAGTAGTGTGGGCTTTGAATTTTATTGAAGGGCTTTGGAAGTGTATTGTGGGTGTAAGGTACAGTAGTGTAGGTGGTGTAGAGTGGGCATAGGAAAGTGAACGAGGTGTAGTGTGGGTGTAGGGTAGTGTAGGTGGAGTATGGATGTAAGTTAGTGTTGCAGGTGAAGGATGTGTGTAGTGGTTAAGTTAGACACACACACACACACACCATGGTATGCTTCCCAGCCTCTACTGAGTCAACTAATTGAATAAACCCCTATGGTTTGTTGACTTAGCTGGGCTTCCACTGAACCTTGTGACTTAGTCTCATCTTTTGACCTAGCCTGGCATCTACTGACCTTGTGACCTAGCCTGGCCTCCACTGACCTGTTGACCAAGCCTGACCTCTTCTGACCTTGTGACCTAGGCTGGCCTCTTACTGACTTTGTGACCTATCCTGGCTTCTACTGACCTTGTGACCTAGCCTGGCCTCTTACTGACCTTGTGACCTTTCCTGGCCTCAACTGACCTTGTGACCTAGCCTGGCCTCTTCTGACCTACCCAGTCCTCTACTGACCTGCAGACTGAACTACAGGAGCTCATTTAACTCAAGCCTTTTATATATATATATATATATATATATATATATATATATATATATATATATATATATATATATATATATATATATATATATATATATATATATATATATATATATATATATGTATATATAAAATAAATCACCGTAGGTGCATCTGATTCAGGTATATGTTGGTAATTAGTGAAAGAAAATACAGCTTCAAGCTGTAATTCACATCTTCAAGGGCCAGTACTCTCACCCTCTCAAAGATTACACCTAAAGCTTTTGGGAACTTCGTTTTCTTTTCCTTGTGGTTATCAGCATATATATATATATATATATAGCATATATATATATATATACATATATATGGTTAGTTATTAGAGTATATATATATATACATATATATATATATATAGTATATATATATATATATAGAGCACATTACATATACATATATTGGTTATCTATATAGTATATATATATCTATCTATATAGTATATATATATATCTATCTATATAGTATATATATATATATATATATATATATATATATATATATATATATATATATATATATATATATATATATATATATATATATATATATATATATATATATATATATATATATATATATATATATATATATATATATATATATATATATATATATATATAATTTTTTTTTAATATACTAGAGACGTTAATACAGTATACTGTATCCCCACTACAGGTGAATTATTTGTAAATTTTTTAGGGTTCACCTTAAAAGTTCATGGGTGACTTACAGCTGTAATTCATCTTGGCCCCATAAACATGTTTTTAGTGTCTCCAGTTCACATGCACCCACACAAATACTTGTCATAGTGAAATGTCCCACTGATAAAAAGTTGAGTGTGTGGGCAGTGGAGAAGACAAGTAGGGTGTAATAATGGGTGACCTCGAAAAATGTGTTGTTTTAATGTTGCGTCATTGTGTGTGTGAGGTATTGTCGTGGTGGCAGGTAGGGTTATGCAATCTACCTAAATATGTCCTCAAGCCAACTCGCATCTACACTTGAAGGATATATTATTTTCCTCCTGCCATTGTACATTGGGTTACATAATGTCACCCAGAGCCTGGGGGATATTTTTACCTCATGTTGTCATAGAAATATAGTCTTGGGGGATATATTTACCACAAGTCATCGGACGTGAGACACTTTTATGTTTACCTGTAGGCCTCGCGGGTATTTTTAGCTGAGGTGGTTGGGCCAGAAGGTTAGCTGTGTTATAGACATTGGGGGATATTAATGCTTGTGGTACTCTTAGTACAGTACTGCTAATACTGTTGATAATACTACTATTATTACTATTACACTATTATTATTGGTACTGTACATACTTTACCTACTGTTACTACTACTAGTGCAGGTACTGTATGTACTACCCTGTACTACTAACTACTACAGATACTGTTTCTACTAGTACAAGTAATTTTGTTACTACTACTAATACAATTAGCCCTGTTGTTACTACTATTAGTACTGTACTTTTTTATAAAGACAATGGCTTCCAACCTCCCCTTAAAGCCATATTGTTACTGTACTAGTATTGTTACTTCTACTACTACTTTGGTACAGTACTAGTATTGCTTCTCTTACTAGTACTGTGTCACTGGATAGAATCTATGGTTAACAAAAGCAAATAAGTGAAATGAATTGCTAAACTTTTAAAACACTCAAAATCTAAGATTAATCAAGAATGTTAACACACACACACACACCCTTCCATTACTTTAGGTCCGAACACACTCCAGGTTGTAGATTCCACGAAGCTCCTCGGCATCACCATAGACAACAAACTAAATTGGAAACCACACGTCAGTGAAGTTGTCAAATCCTCCAGTTTCCGTCTCCACCTCTTCCGCCGACTCAAGTCCCTCGGAGTTCCTGCTTCCGAGCTCCTCAGTGTTTACTCAACATTCATACTTCCCAAGCTCACCTATGCCTCCCCTACCTGGTCTTCCTCCCTAAATGCCACACAACGTAAACACCTAGAAAAAGTGCAAAAGAGGGCATGCAAGATTATTCTCTCCCCTTCCTACTCCACATATCAAGAAGCGCTCAACACACTGACCCTTTCGACTCTCACTGACCATCACCACGACCTCATCTGCAAATTTGTTAAGAAGCTTCTGCACCGTCCTCGACACCGGCTCCTACTACCACCTGAGATCCCTAGCCCGAGAATTGCTGTTCGACACCACAACCGCATCCAGCCCATACGTGCACGAACTGATCGCTATAAGGACAGCCCAGTCCCAACCATTGTAAAAATTATCAATAACTTGTAATAAACCAGTGTATTCACTCCCAGTAAATACTACTTCTTGCACTGTCACTATGTTGAAATGCCCTGTAGCTTGAGCTTTTCCCCATCTAGTTATTATATATTTTATTTATATCACTTATGTTATTTGTATATTATTTGTAATTCAAAACCCATTCCCCAGATATGTAACTGTATATTTTCAGCCTTCTGGCTGCCAAGCTCCTTCAATAAACCTTTAATTATTATTATTATTATTACACACACACTTTTGCCCAATACCCCCTCTCATATACCTAGCCACAAGCATATTCACTCCTGCTCCTGTCCACCCATATAACTCCTCTCACCTTTGTCCATCTTTCAACCAACCAACCCAGTCATGTTCTTTATAGTGGTGTGTGTGTGTGTAATAATTATAACAATAATAATAATAATACAGTACCTTTTAACAATAATACTAATGTATGGTTTATTGAAAGAACATGGCATCCAAAAGGCTGAAAAACAATAAGCAGATAAAGTTACAGATGGTGGCATTGGGGCATGGGTTGCTTAATTAACAAAAGCTTTTGAGAAGAAACATAGGGGGAACATACATGCAAACTATGGATCTGGAAGTTTTCTCAGTGGTTATAAGGAGACCGGTCTTGTAAACTGTCACTTGAGTTGTAAATTGGTGCTGACAAGATCCTTCCCACGGTACAACAAAGCTTCATGTATAGCTCCCTCCCTTTGGCCGGTCGCACTCATCACGTGGTCCTGACACGTCTTCCTAGCTCACACAAGGTGTTGGGGTGAACTCTTGTTTCTCACCTGGTGTAGCTGGGAGTCTTGATTTCTCATTCAATCTTGTCATGGACTTCTGAGGTCTACATCGGTTGCAACCATTGTGCACGGATATGTCAGGAATATCCACTGTTCAACACTTTATTTCCTTTATAAGTTGAAATTGTCACTTTTTTATATTAATTGTGGTTGATCAACCTTTATACTGCACAGATTTGTTGAAGGAAGGGTGTTGATATACAGTATCATGGTGAGGAGGAGTTAAGGGAAAAATCAACAGGCTGACTAAGGTGGTGAGGATTGGTGCCAGGTACATCTTCATCCCTTGAGGGCTGGGGTGTGTGTGCCTGTTTGTTTTGAAGAAGAATTAACATGGAGCCACTATCATATACGTGTAATCAATATTTACTGTGTAGTGTATTGTTAAGAAATCTTTAGCTTAAGCTGTTGTGGCAGTTTATACAAGAATAAAACAGTTATGTACCTCTTATTGTATTACATAATGTTCCCCACAGACTGATGAGCTGTCTTTGCGAGGTCTAAAACTCAATCATCGTGAGCGCCGGTTTATCAAGTTTGCTTCTGCAGAGTACCAGGGTCAGCTCTACATGACCCCGCAGGACTTCATAGAATCTGTCACCGACTCAGAGCCCAGGCGTGAGTTGGTCATTGTTTACTTGACAGGAGACCTTTGTCAGTGGGGGTTGCAATTTTAGAATTGTAGTCATAAGGATAAACAATTATTTCCAGGTAAAGTTCTTCACAATATATTGGTTGCCACCTGTTCATGTACCAGGTAATAATCGCTTTCCTGTGGGGTAAACATATCTGTACAAATGGTTTGTTTGCTTTCCTTAGCCAGGTTACACAATAACAGGAATGTGAAGAATTTTTTGGCTTAGGCCTCAATTGTAAGGTGTGGTAACACCTTACAATTACAGTACTACATAAATTGTGGGCCACAGGATTCACTGACTGTACAGTACTGGGATACACTACAGGTACTGTATTACAATATAAGCCATTATAACTAGAATTATATATTTTTTTAATTTCATATCTTGTCCACAGCACGTTTGAAGCGAAGGAGAATATTTGAGAAGGACCTTGAACGTTTTGCTCAAGAAACTCCAATTTTAGCTAAGGGATCACCAGATATGTTCAGAAATATATTTGACAAGGGTGAGTGACCATGTTTGGGTGTTCCTGTAACAAACTTGCTGTAGGTGCAAATAATGCCTTCCATACTTAAGAAGGGTGATACTGTATTATATATTGTAATAATAGGAAATGGAAATTGTCAAATTTAGATAAAATAGAAGAGGCGGGAGAAACAATTATTACTAAACAGCAGCCAGGGTGAAACATCACATGGTCACATTTGCTCATCATTTTTTATCAGAGACTATAAGACCCCAGGACAACCAGTTTCTATAGTATTCCCTATATACTGCACACTATATGTACAGTATGTATACACTATAGGAAACCTAAATAATAATTGCATTCAGATAAACTTTTTTTTTCTTTTGCAGGTATTATTTCTTATACAGAGTACTTGTTTTTGCTTTCTATTCTTACAAGTAAGTGAGTGAGTGAGGGTGAATTTGCTTGTAATGAACATTTTAACTGCAATATTGCTAGTACTGTGTAATATTCTTTTGAAATATTGAAGTATTTTACCTAATATAGTTTGAAGTAAACATGAGAACTTATTTTCAGAGCCTCAAACAGGATTTCGCATTGCTTTCAACATGTTCGACACAGATGGTAATGAGCGAGTTGACAAAGAAGAATTTCTAGTGGTAAGGTTTCTGCCATATTCATCTTCTCTCAGTTGATAGATAGAAAAAAGCTCCTTTTCAGCTGAGGGATGTAGCTGATGCCAGTGTATATTACAGAGGACCACCTCATGTACCTGCAATATGTTGGCATTTTTGTGTTTTTTCCAAGCTCTTCTATAATTATCAAAGAAACCTATTTCTTTATACTGCACAGTATTATGTACCATATCTGAATTTTTTTGTTCTCATTGTTATTCTTGATTATTGATATACAACCGTACACTGTAGTATATTGTACAGTACAGTATAGGGTATTACTGTATAAGTATGTTAATCATTATTTTGTTGAGACTTGTAGGGTGTATAGGCTTAGGATACAATGGTATAGATTTTATATTACTGTACAGTATTTAATTGACAACTAAAATACTGGTGGTTTAAATTACCATTGATAGGGACATTGTTGCACTGATAACCACCGGGAGTCATTATCAGTGATATGACCTTATGTCTTCCGGCTTATCTTAATAATTTTACTTTGTGTCATATTCAGGTTATTAATTAGAGGGGATATGTCCCTATCCTGCCTCATCTGGTCTGTGGCTGCACATGATTTTGGGCGTGTATGGGTTAACTTTTATGGAAAATACCAATCTATTGGGGAAACCAACATGTATTTTGTCAGCTGCAGCAGAGGAACTTAAAATCATGCTGAACATCTGAATTTTGGAGGACTGTACTTAAAAGATAGTAACAAGGGGATCACTAGAACTATCTCTTCATTATCCAAGTTCTTCCTCCTGAATTCCATCACAAGCAGTTGATGGTGGTTTCTTTAGTGTGGTAGCCAGCCCAATCTGCACAGATTTACTGATTACATGCTGGTTTTAGATGTTGGCCACCTCCACAAGCTTTGATGAGTGGTAACCAAAATGCTTGGGGTAAAATTGTATGTACCACCTACATAATACAGGTATACCCCAAAAACTGATGCCCCAATAACCGCTGATTTGCATAACCAATGATTACATATAGGGGAAATACCTCGCAAGTTTCATTGACACCCAGGAGATCTGACGATTGGGAGAGGAGTGGCAGAGCTGGTTTTAATTTGGCTGGCAGTGGCATGGTGAAATTTCTTGCCCTGAAAGGGATTTGCGTACTGCCTCTGACACATTCCCTCCTCTTTGCTCTTGTTTACACTTAACATTTGTCTCTGACTTCGTGTTTTTCGTTATTTCCAACTTCATATGTTATGCTGCCACTTTTATGGGCAGCTTGATGTGATGTAATAAGGCATAATAAGAGTGGCGATGGACGAGCAAAGATTGGTAAAGACTTGAACTTGCCACCATAGACCATCTCTACCATTCTCAACACAGGTAAATAACAGTCTCAACTTAGACTTTGCTCATTTAAAGCTTATTATGCTTTCTTTATTTGTCTGCTTTATTTTTTTGCTTGACAGTGTGAACAACAAAGTTATATCAAAGGTAGATGGGAATTTTTGAAGGGTGGCTTATCCCTTACCCCCTGAATTTGTTATATTCTTGGGATATTAATTGCTTTGACAACCGTTGATTCACTAACCAACGACTTTTCCCCATCCCTATATGCATTGGTTATCAGGGTATGCCTGTATCTGGTATATAAACGATACACTATACTGAGGTTAATCCATTGTTTTGGATCGAGTCATTTTCTCAAAAATTTGGTAATTGTAACATTTAAAAACTACCAAGTAAAACTTAGTTGTTGTTGTTTTGTGTAATGTGAAAATACCTTTAATTTCTAGAGTAGAGTAGGAATTTGGGCAGAATTAATTGTTGTGGAAAAAATCAACCTTGTTCCACTGTGACCTGGGAGCAGGTTATTATTTAACCTAAAGACACAGTAGATCAGCCCCTTTATGGCTGTGATAATCTCCAAAATAAATGCTTTGTTTTCACAAAAACTTCAATTTCTTAATGTTTTTCATCATCCTTTATGTATAATGCTACTTACTAAGGTCAAAGTATCTTGTGTGTGTGTGTGTATATATATATATATATATATATATATATATATATATATATATATATATATATATATATATATATATATATATATATATATATATATATATATATATATATATATATATATATATATATTGTAGGAAGTGAAGCAGAGTGTATAATTCAGAGGTGGTTGGTAGGAAGGGGAGGAAGACCAAAAAGGAGATAGGATGAAGGAAGTATGTACTGCACCAGAAGTGAGTGGAATGGACAAGCAGGATGCAGTAGAGTGAGTACATGAAAGATAAGACAGCAGGGCATTTGGTCATCTCGTCTTTCAGTCACCATTTTTAACCTATATGCTTAATGACTGACAATACATTAGCCAGGGGTCCTATGATGTCCAGTTTCATCGCATCATCTTTGGGCTGTTTACCTAAATAGTCGTTGAAATTCCTTAAGTGTAAGTGTGAGAGGTTATGCTTCATTTAACCTTCCTTATCTCAGGTATGATATGTTTGGTTTATTACTACTTTTGGAATATTTAGGTTGTAGTTCAATATTACTTGATTTTCCAGATACACAAACTATGCAGAGATATAAGTACAAGAGCAGAGTTAAGGTACAGTAGGAATGATGTTATAATCCAAGTAGTCAGGTGTTTACTTCAGTACAGTATTTGGGATTGATGACAGCATCTCGTGTAACAGTTAATGGAGATGATCACTGCTGGTGTATTCCGGGCCTATGCCTCTTGGGTATCTGATACGTCCAAGAGTGATAGCATGGACTCCAAGAAGCTCAAGAGTCTTCAAGACACAAGGCAGGTCGTAAGTGAGCTGCTCGTGGGCCAGTCACCCAACAACGTACGTGTGGGGGTAATATAGCTGCAGATGTTGTGCGTGCCGCGTACCACCAGTGCCTCGCTATTTCTCAACTTCTAACTGCTCTGTCTCTGAAGGTCTTCACTGTGGCGTGTGACGGGTGATAGCTCAAGATAGGGCTATCATCCCAAATTGTTCCTCACTATTTTTGTACAGCAGTCACACACTTTTGCTAATACAGAAATGCTGGAGCTCATTCTACCACTGTGTCATCAAAAAGACTTGATGTGTAATGTTAATTGAAGATTTTTTGTTGAGAACCCATGAGTGTTTTTAATATTTATTTATAGATAGATGATGTAGAACATATTAATTCTATAATTTATTATGTGTATTTGTTAGATTATAAATACAATCTTTTATGTTACCCAGAAGGAATTTTTAAATAATTTTTTTATTCAGATAAATTGTGTGCACATTATAGGAAAGACTTGGCCATGACTATGTGGTAGATTGAGTTAAGTTGCATTTGCCTACCGTCAGCTGCAACTCAAATTGCCTTGGCATTATAGCATACATCATATCCTCAGTAGATGCCTGTGATACTTATACATTAGACATAACATCACTCAAACTCTGCACAAATAAGACACACAAGACCTGTACTCGACTCAAGAAGAGGAACATTCTACCATATGAATAAATCACTCTTCCAATATACTTTTTTATCTTAATAATAAAAAAGAAGGCTTCATACAATACCACTAGTATGGTATTTATAGAAGACATTATAATGAAATAGCATTTTGAAAACTTAACTGGCAACATTTATATACTGTTATACAGTATATAATTTTTATTATACACAGACTGGTATGCTATTGTATATGCATACATGGACATTGGTACATACAATTGACACATATATATGCTTGCATTATACACTAGTGAGAAAAGTCTTATACTGTACATATTCTCATGTATTTTTACATATACACATTGGCACTACATTAGTTTATCAGATTGTGGTGAGTAGTATTACTTCACCTTAGCTAACTGTTATGTTAAAGATAATTAAACAAAGAACTTAATTTGTTAGAATATTGTGCTATGTATTCCCTCATTTTAGTCCCTTTGAAAACAATCACATGTTCATGCTTTACGAGTGCTATACTCACAACACTTGAATTACATTTCATTGACATTCTTGTAGGAACTTAAACCACCTGGTCATCCCTTCACTCACATACACTCGCTCACTGCCACACCTCTGACCTGACATCCTCATCAGCATAAGGTTCAGGTTGGTCTTATCTTTCAGTAAAATGTGATGGAAAGAAAAAAAAAAGGTGGTCTGTATATGTTTGGGGTTAGAAGTCCAGAATCAGGAGACCTCACCTAGTTTTCTCTCTTCAAATCCAAATTTCTGTCTAGGGCTCTTGTGATTTTTCAGTATGTTCCTCGACAAGAATGCATATTAATCCCTGTCTCAAGTATTTTTTTGGGGGTGGGGTGTGTATCTCTCACCACATTAACTAGGACATTTAGGGATCTTTAATGATGATGTGTTTATCTGATTGGAAGTGTAGATTATCAGTACAGTAATTGTTAATATGTAGGCAAAGAAGATATGTAGTCAACTGTATTTCCAGCAGAAGTGGTTTTGAGTAACCATGATTTCCTGCTGTGGGCTTTCATGCCATTAGATGTGAGGGACATTGTTTGCCACATGTGATTTAGACAAGGAAAATCAATATTTTCTTAAGATAGCCTTACTTCCTCTTTGATAGTGTAAACTTTTATTCCCCGCCATCTGGAGCATACAGCCATTTAGTTTGACAGAATTAGAGTAAGATCGGGACCCTGAAAACTTGTACGTACATTTGTTGACCATCTGCTTTTCATTTTCTTCTCTTGATTTTCTACTGAAACATGTTTCCATCCTTAGCTTTGGGGTCATCTATCTAACCCACCTTATATGAGGAAAACTAGTTTTATATGTCAAAATATAATTTCCTAATATTGGAGATATATCGACATAGTGTGATACTCACTGATTTTTTTGAGACTGCTGCCATGTTGTTTGTCGTGTGTCCAGCTTAGTTTTGTGAGAATAACATATTGGGGAAATTTGTGTGGTACAGTATTATGTGTTTGAATTTGTGGAAGCAGTGTCTTAGTGTGGTACCGTGCGTCTGTAGTATAAACTATTACCATATTATAGCAATTGTATGATTTATATTAATTGTACTTTGTGGTAGTGATTAACATAAAACAATAATATCATAGTTCTTCTGATGTAGCAAACATGAAACAGTGAACAAACAAATGAAATATTAAGAGAAGCACTTTTAGATTTGCTGTTATTATAAGAATAGTTTTTATAAGCTACGCTTATGCAAGAAGCTTTGAGCAAATATTATTACAGGAGTTGAAGACACAATGAGTATGGTTCCTTTAGCATTGAGAATATTGTATGTTGTCTTAATATGTGTTCATACCATGATGTTTAGGAACACATAGATTGATTGGAGTCAGGTGCAGTATTTATTGAACCTCAAACTTAATGAACTACTTTTAGTTAAAATTAAAAAAATTATTTTAGTAATAAAGGTGAGTTTAAGAAATGATGCTAAGGTAAGAAGATTGATGGAAGAATGAAGTATATTTGGTAATTAGGCTGTTTGCTGCCTCGGATTGATAGTGTCATATTGAGACCAGTAAAGTAATTAATAAAAAAATTTTAGCTAATGTGTGTGCGTGCGTGCGTGCTGCCACTGGAGCTTCAAGAAGCCAATTCTTACCTTTCCTCTTCTCTGCTATTTTTTCTGCTAAACAATGCTTGTGTTTATTTTATTGTATTTAGCTACTGTACCATGTCTCCATATTTTACCGAGTTTTAAGAGGCCTTTCCTTACTTATATTTCAAGATATTTGACTTGTTAATTTTATGGTTGAGAATGCTGCCTATTTTATATAATTTAAGGATTTTGACTTGGCTTTACAGTGTTTAGAAGAGCTTAATTTATTTTGATTTTAAGGATTCTGATTCTTGCTTATTCAGAATGACATCACTTACTGTACAAGAGTTTAGTAAGACATCACTTACTCTACAAGAGTTTAGTTGGACATCACTTACTCTACAAGACTTTAGTAGGACATCACTTACTCTACAAGAGCTTAGTAGGGCATCACTTACTCTACAAGAGTTTAGTAGGGCATCACTTACTCTACAAGAGTTTAGTTGGACTTCATTTACTCTACAAGAGTTTCGTAGGACATTACTTATTTCAATTTCTTTTTATTTTTAGGAGATATATTATTAGTTTTACATAGTTTGATAGGACATTACTTTTTTTTTTTTAAGTATTACCTTTGCAGAGTTTGGGAAGACATCATTTGAAAGTTATTTATTGAGAGGAAATTGTTCCTAAACGTTCTGGAGGGATGAAATTTTTAAGCATCCTGTGTATGTGATGGGGATGTGTGAGGTGTCCTGTATCAACCAAAATTGTGTTAGCTCTTAAAGTATGAAAAAACAGATTAGGATTCTAATAATGACTTGCCATACTTCATTGAGGCTCAGTTCATTCAAATATGATAAAGGTTTTTTCACTGTTTTATTGTATAATATTAAGAAATATAGCAATGTAAAATTAAGGATTAGATATAGCCTATATGTTCCAAATCATTATTGTAGAGACAAGCCAAACTAATACAGTAGTGACCAAGTCTAGTGGGTTGAGAGGTCATGTCAGGGGTTCAAAGTTGGGATCCAAAAACGGTATCATCCCAGAATTGAACTCCTGATATAACCTGTTGGATGTAATTTTCATGTTGCTTGACAGAGAATTAAAACTTTTAAGATAAGTAAGTCCAAGTGCAAAAATTTATATTAACTTATTTTTTTTTGTGAATTGTGGTCTGTACAGTACTGTATATTTTTTAATTAAAGAGATGACCAGTTTTTGTTTGTTTTCTGGTATAACTTTATTTGTGTATATATATATATATATATATATATATATATATATATATATATATATATATATATATATATATATATATATATATATATATATATATATATATATATATATATATATATATATATATAAACTGTGTGTGATTTCAGTGAATAAAAGGTACATTTGACAAAATTCTGAAAAATTTGTCTTTAAAGAAAGGTGTGGGTATAAGTTGATGTTTAAGACGTGAATTCTTTGGTGTCTCGGGTTTATCACAAAAGGCTACTGTATGTGTAAGTAAAAGTGACCTTATATTAACAGAAAAAAGTGTACATGAGTAAATGGTCTTATTGATTGTAGATTATTTTTAAATTACAGAGTAGATGAATTGGTAGTTGGGTTAGAGCATCACTGACTGGTTTTCATGAATGTGACTGACTTATTTAGTTGTGTTAAGTGTAGTTAGTGTAATGACTATTTGAGAGAGTTTGAAAACATACAAAGGTTGTACACTGTATGTAAATTATCTTAAGAGGAAAAACAATGGTTGAAAAATTAAGTGAGACAATTTGTTGGGTTCAGATAGGTGTTTATATATATTTCGTGTGTGTGTTATAGATTAAATAGGGAAGACATGACTTTAAAAAGTATTATGTGGAGAAGATCTAACCGAGCCAATGGGAAACTTAATAAAGCAGGAGTAGCAGGTATGTGGTGATGGAGGAAGACCAACACCAGGGTCTAATAGTGTTGTAATGGTTCTTAATTGATACATCATTAAATAAATCTTTGTTCTCAGATTTTTTTAATGTTCTGTGTAGTGCAAGCAGTTTCTTCTGTGTAATCATACTTACAGAATTTTTTAGTAGTTTAGTAGATTGTTAGCACTGGTTATTCAACATTTAGTTTGTGATGGTATGTTGTATACAGTATTGTGGTGGCTGGTGGGCAGGATACTTGAGGAATATTGTGAATATATTTCCCTACTTTTATGAGGAAAATACTAAACTATACAGTTTAGTGGTGGATAGTAAATTTTGAGAATAAATAAGTAATTTTTTAATCCCCCACAAAGTTGTGGAAGTTATAATGCAACTTGAGTAAAGTCATCATGCCTAATTATGTAATGTTCTTCATCAACAAAGTATTATATATTAAATTTCTTAATGTTTTTAGTTATGTTATGTAATGCCAGAAGTGATTGTTGTGGTGTGAAGTGTTCAGCCAAGTACTTAATATATTAGGAAGAAAAGATGTAACACTTACCTATATTTGCAGCTGGAAAAAATCTTCAGCACTGCTCGAAGAGACCGGCTAAACCGAGCCCTGGAGGGGGCAGTCAAGTCAAGTGATACAGGTAAACTTAAGTTTAGATTGAACTGATCAGATTAGGTTTTGTTTATTTACACAGTGAGTAGGTCAAGTTTGGTTAGGTGAGTTAAGTTAACTCTTTTATTTGTTTTCCCCCGTGTAATAAAAGAACAATAATATCAGAACAAAACTTTAGAGGATTCTGGAGGTCATGTCAGAGGTGTGGGCTACAAGTTCTTGTTGCGTGGCATAACCTAATTATTGCGATATACAGTGATGTCCCTGTTAGCAAGAATAGTTGGCGCAGAGCTGTATTTTTTTCTGCAAACACCACTGTACACATACAGATATTGTAAAAAAAGCCAGATATACTACTCTTATACACTATACTGTACTCCCCCAGCAGATGGTGTCATCTTGGGCTTGTGATGCAGCTAGTCCGAATGGCAGAGGTGTAAAAAGTACCAGACTTCACTACTTATGTTAAAGTACTGTTACAATTTTAAAAAGTTACTCAAGTAAAAGTAACAATCCTAAAATGTATTTAAGTAAAAGTAAAAAAGTATCCCAAATATTAGGTACAGAACTCAAGTAATGAAAGTACAAAGTACAATCAGCAATGATGAAAATTATTTGTCTCAAGTTAACTGCAGTTGTAAACTGCAGGGGGGCCCCCAAATTCGCGGTGGTTAGGTTCTCAAAATGGCCGCAAATTGACAAATAAGGTAAGGTATGGATAGGGATACATTAAGTTTGGTTTATTGGAGTTATTATGTAAGGTTATGGTAGGATATATTTATTTGGGATTGGTTAGGTTAAGTTGGGTTAGGTTAAAGTTCATGTACTTTGATAGTTTAATTTAGGTTATATTGGGTTGGGTAAGGCTTGGTTAGATTAAGTCCAGTTAAAGTAATTTGTTTGGTTGAAATAAGTTGAAGTTAGGATGGTTAATTTAGATTAACTGTAGGTACACAGTGAAATATTTGATGTTGGATGGCATCCAGTGGAGCTAGTGACAGGCATGTTTATTGTGCTCTTCATACAAAGTGAATGAACATGTCACCAACTCTATATCTGGATGGCACTTGGTGGTGATTGTCTTATTTGAATACCTCTGCAGAAAGTAATTAACCCACTGCATATCATGTTAGCCCCTGATGGTTAGATTGAGACTGGTAAGATAAAGTTACTTGAGTTTTGTTTGCAATTGAAAAAGTTGAAATGACTCACAGTTGTGCAATTCATTTACATGTTAATTATAACCAAATTCAACAACTGATGTGATAGCCAGACTGGATGTACATTGGCATGAGTAACCTTAATGTTCATAAAAAAGGCAAGAGGGATCAGAATAGTGTTGCCTAAGATTATCTCCAATAGTACACTTGTTTGAGATGGTTTCACGGGTAGAGGATGAACTATTTTTTAAAAGGCTAAGATAGAGTTTTCCTGCATAGAGTAGTTCTGTCATGAGTAAGACTGTAAGAATGATTACTTGAACTGTACATTACCAATTACCTCACTGAAAGGTTACTACTACCTTTCTGGTTTAAGTGTTGTGTTCCTAGGAAGTTAACTATCGGTTGTATCTCGAGTGCAATTATAATTTTACAGGTGACGATGTTGAAGTACTGGAGGATGAGCTACAGAAGAGTCACGTCGTTGACACTACGCTCTTACTTCATTTTTTTGGACGTAAAGGGAAACAAGACCTCAAATTTGAAGAGTTCCAGATGTGAGTAGCTCAGAAAGGTCTATTTGTAACAGATAAACATATCACCTAAATAAGGATGAATTTATTTTGATTTTAAAGCTTAGCAAAAGGAGAACTCACTTTCAAGAGACAGACTTAGATGCTGTATAAAATTTTATTCCCTACAGTTCTTGATTAGTGACCCATAGGATTCCTAGCACATTAAAAATCTCATGACAGACCTTGTCAGTGTCATGGTCCTGACTCTTAAGCATCAAGAAGAATTTATTGCAACAAATAATGTAATTGCAGCCAAGGAACACCTCATTTATGCACACCAGGATCATTATACAGTAGTAGTTGGGTCTTACAGTAAGTGAGGTGCCTTGGTAAGGATTAGAATTCTCCAACAGTCCAGCACACCTTAAACAAAGTTTCTCTCTATTCAAGGTCTTCAATACTTTCAATCAATTTAAGTCTTGGTCATCCCATCAGTTATCTCCCTTCAGGTCTCCAGTTAATTTGTATGTTTTCAGATGAATTTACCATTGCAAATGATTTATCTCTGTCCAACAATGTTAGATCTACATTGAATAATTCTCTTTTTTTTTCATCATTTATAATTCTATCTTCATAATTCTCATTTCAAGTCTGTGCACACCTATTTCTGTCTCTTGTAACTTACTTTGCAGTATTTTTGTCACTGACCAAGCTTTGTTACCATATAGCTTAAGAATTGTCTTATTAAGTGCTGTTTTCATGTGGATGGGTATAATTTATCTTTAACTCTTAGTCTACCCTCCTCGTATATACCGTATATGTATACAGTATGCAGCACATGTACCACTATATATATGCCAAGGCTCTGCTGTTAGATTGTCAAGCAACAGGTTAAAAATAGCCTTTGTAGCTGTAGGTGACTCCCTTCCTCGCCATATCAGAGAGTACATATTGGCCTATATGTTCATATTCATTAGTTTTATCCTCTGATATGATTAACTTATATTATACAGTTTATTATAAAGACATTAATTTTTTTTACAGCCTGATCACCTCTTATTGTGAAGATAACCATAAAATCTTTCCTTGGTAGATGAAGGGTTAAGGAGTTGAAAAGGTGCAGCAATATTTAAACTGAAATGTTATATTATTTCATTAATTTCAGCATGAGTAGTAGCATCCAAGAATTTAACAGTGCCCAGGTACTTAAAATGCAAAGATGTAATAATATTGTTATTCCTTCATTCAACAGGTTTATGGAGAACCTTCAAACTGAGGTGTTAGAAATAGAATTCAATGAATTTTCCAAGGGCTTGCCAGCAATCACTGAGCTAGACTTTGCTAAAATCTTGCTTCGTTACACCTATCTTCAGTCTGACCAGTAGGTATATTTCAAGTTTGTGAAAAATAGACATACAGGGAGCAAAATAACCTGCACCATAACACAAATTGTGACATAAAACTCCATTGTGAAGCAAATTGGACAGTACATAGTGACTGTGATTCAATGATCATAGTATAGATGTGCTAATTATTTTTGTATTTACTTTTAAAAAAATTATATAATATATATATATATATATATATATATATATATATATATATATATATATATATATATATATATATATATATATATATATATATATATATATATATATATATATATATATATATCATAATATAACAACCATCAACGACCTCACCAGCCAGGACTCGAACCCTGGACCTAATGCATGGGACCAGGGAACGCTACCGACCATACCACAAGAGCACTAAAAGCAGTTCTAGACTATGTGATATTTCACACAAAGCCTGTTCATCGAGCTGATGGCGCCGTGAACCTCTCAGTGGGAACTGCCCGTGCTGCTTATGTGGATGTCAGTAGCATTTTACCGAATCCAGCTGGTATGAAACGCGAGGTACCATGTATACTTCATTTTTAGTCCATATAACACGCGGACTTTGAGAGGTTCACGGCGCCATCAGCTCGATGAACAGGCTTTGTGTGAAATATCACACAGACTAGAACTGCTTTTAGTGCTCTTGTGGTATGGTCGGTAGCGTTCCCTGGTCCCATGCATTAGGTCCAGGGTTCGAGTCCTGGCTGGTGAGGTCGTTGATTATATGTTCAAAGTCCGTGTTATATGGACTAAAAATGAAATATATATATATATATATATATATATATATATATATATATATATATATATATATATATATATATATATATATATATATATATATATATATATATATATATATATATATATATATATATATATATATACACCTGATCATAGTATATATATATATATATATATATATATATATATATATATATATATATATATATATATATATATATATATATTATAGTCTGGATTTACAAGGTTTTTGTTTACGCATTTGGTCATTTACGCAGTGCCTTGCCAGATGAAATGTTTTAATTACGCAGTAAATTTCATCATTTACGTGGCGAGCGGCTGGAAAAGTCTAGACCGCCGCGCCATTTTTTACTCACGCGGTCCATTCCTGACCATACGCAGGAAGCGGCGCGGTGAGGGGTGCGCATTAGGCCGCTTTTATGTTATCGCTGACATCATATGACGTATCGGACTGTGATTGGGCCACGCATCCTTACCACCCACACATTCCCTCCGCCGCTAGCTGTGATTGGTCTAATGTAACATGACGTGCCCCTGCCACCAGAGGGTAGAAGTCGCTGACCTAGCTGGGCCAGTCTCATTGTTCTCAGTCCGCGTATGCAGTTCTTTCTTGTGCCCGCTATTCCCGTCACAATGGCTTCCACTGGATCCCCACCACCCGAGAAAAGCCTTGAATTACCTGGACCAAGCCAGGATTGTGTGAAGGAAATCATCGAGTTGGGGGAGAAAATTAAGCTCATCCTTGACAACATCCCAGACAAGCATCGGTATGAAGAGTCTAATAACCATCTGACGAAAGTTATGGAGCCGTATATCCAGATCTATCTCGACAACATCAATGCTAGTTGTCAACGTAGTATTAAGGACTTCTTCGCCCGCAACCCACCACAACCACAGCCAGCCCAAGTCAGTGATAGTGACAATGAGGATATGGACTTTGAGGGGTTTGTATTGGAGGCCCTGCAAACCTCTGCGAGTAGTGAAAGTGATTCACCGGAGGGCAACTAATCTGCCCTCTGCCTCGGAACCAGCCGCCATCCACGTTTGCCGACACATCTTTTCTACTAACGTAAGTGTTAAAAAACCTAATTTTATTGATATTTCTCTTGAATATTAATTGTGTGTGCATACCATCATAAAATTAAGATGTTATTTTTACTACAAGGTATGCATTGTGTCGGAAAAAGTGGAGTTTGGGGGTCGGCCCAGTCACTATTTCAATTAATCCCATATGTTCTGTTATTTCGTTTACGCGTTTCTCGTTTTACGCGGACCTCCACGGGTTCAATTGACCGCGCAAATGCAGACTATACTGTGTGTATATATATATATATATATATATATATATATATATATATATATATATATATATATATATATATATATATATATATATATATATATATATATATATATATATATATATATATATATACACACACCTGACCCTCGCTTTATGCTATGGTTGCGTTCTGCGACAACACAGCATAATGGAAATCCACATACTGTATAGTGAATACTTAATTTTATGGGAAAAATTAGGATACGTTCCACAACTAAAAGTTAACAGTAATGCTATAAAAGTTGTGGAAAAATCATTACAATACTTTAATTTGGGTTAAAAATAAAGATAATGTGATATAAAACTATAATATATAATATAAAACTGTAAACTAAGACACATGACGAGCATGGATGTATGTGTGGAAAGTGAAAGTGTGTGGAGTGGCTGACTCACCACTGCAGCCGCGTCTGTGACGTCACATACAGTGCGGTACACCACACACACACACACACTGTGCCACGTTTCACAACCATTTCTGGAGCATTAATGCTATAAGAGTTGTAGAAAATTAATTAAAATACTCTAATATAGCTTAGAAATATAGATAGTATAATATAATATAATAAAAACTAGTGTGCCATATCTTCTACAGAAAATATAATAAGGAATCTTTTCTGCATAAAATGAATTTGGAGTAGAAATAGGGTCGCCGCATAAATGCGAATTCGTATAGAGTGAAGGCGCATAAAGCAAGGGTCTAGTGTATATACAGTATATACTGTATATTTATTTATTTAATGTTCATGTTTCTGATGTGCTTTGGATTTTCAGTTTAACAATTGAATATTAGACCACATGGAATGTCAAGATGGCTGCGACTTTGAAACACATATATGAAATACTTGCTATTCTTTAGTTTAATTAAACTATTTGTGATTTATTGGTCTACTATTTGTGATATCATTGGCACATTGTCTGTACAATTTATGATAATACTGGCCAGCTTTATTGCCCAACTTGCTATGGGGGAAAAATATAAAGTTATGTGAGAAGTTAGTGAAAGCTTATATGTGATGAGTTGAGATTAACTACTGTCTGTTATGATAGAGACTTTCTGTTGTGATCCAGGCCCACAAAGAGGATGTCCAGGTGACTGTACATACTTACATGTTTCTCCTCTTGCAACACTCCACACTTGCACTCTGGATAATAAGTAAACAACCTTGAGCAGCAGTGATTGCAGGACTGTACTAGTCTTTGTGTACAGTACATGCTCAGTAATGTGTACACTAACTGTATTTCTGGAAATGTTCTGTAAGCAGAGGGTTACCTTCCATAAAACTTGGTTTTGTTTTCACATTAAAATTCCACAGATTCACCAAAGACCTCATATACTGAGTTTTCCCATCATATCAGATGTGTAGAGATGTTTTGTGGCATTAAATTTGACTTATGTATGCCTGTATATGGCAAATATATTTTGAATAATTTACTAATTTGATTTAAATGAATCTATTGTCATGTGACTTTTTGGTTTAGAAAATTAATGTTAAAGATACATGTTAAAGATACATAGTATTTTAATTTCTTAAGTAACATGCAATCATGTATGACTGCTGTCATCAGACATCTCCAGAAATATGACTGCCACAAGTATTGTAGAAAATTGACATGGTAATTGCTAATACAATACATGTATTAAAGTGTCATCCCACAATATACACTATCACAAAATGGTTTATGATGAGCCGGCACTCCAGTCCCCACAAGACACCATAATATGAGCTGCATTTGAGACAAAATTAATGAATCGCTGAGTAAGTCCCACGTAGAAGATTCAATCTGGACCGACCCTTAGAAGGGAACTGTAGATTTGATTTCCATCCATCTCCTCATTCTTTAGGTGTACACTGATACTCCAGATTTCTTACATGTTTGGCACAAAATGATGATGCACTGCCTTATTTGTTAATAATCAGGTATGTAATTCTTTTTCTTGGACAGGGTCACCCAATTGCCATTTTTGTGATAAAAACACTTGGCCAATACCTGAAATGCAGTAAACCCTTAATTTACACATTACAGGTATCTGTTTTGCTCAATTTTGCTTATTCAGTCAAGTAATTGTGACCAATTTTTTAAACTATAAACTCACTGATCCAAAATATAGCATAGTGGCCAAATGGGTCAAGAATGTTTGATTCTTGCCAAATGTTCCTCCCTAGAAATTTGGGACTTAAGAAGTCTACTGAGTAACAGTGACGAGTAAGGATGACTAAAGGGTATTTATAACACGACTGTATTGAAATGCGTAGCAGCTACAAATTGATTAACTTTTGTAAACGCAGATCGTGTCTACTTGCTAGTTCTCTTACGTTAAAAAGTTTGCTTTCAAAGGACAAGATATGCAGTCACTTATTTTCTATATGAAGAGAGTTTTCATTTGTGCATTTCGTGCAAAGGTAAATTTCAACAGTTGGTATTCCTTGCTTTATCCAACACTCACTGGTCATGCACACTCATCTTTAATTGATTATGCAAGGACTTATCTCAGTTAGATGGTGGACTTATCTCAGTTAGATGGTACACTTAACTTCTCATTCATAAATTTAAAAGATCTTTTTGTGGTATTGTTTAAAATTACTGGTTAAACATTACAACTGAATTCTTATTTTTAGATTGCCAAGTTTGGTACCAGTAGAAAGGTTATTTCTTGTACAGTATACAGTATTACAGTGAAACTACAGAGAATAATATCTTTTGAAGGGAATTTGAGTAAAGAGAACAATTCATCTTTAGTGGGTTATGTCAATACTGGCCTGCTGATGATAGGATTTACCTTCCCTGTGGTCAGTCATGTGCAACTAAAGGAAGCCTGGAACCTAACCCACTTATCCACAAGCCCAGGGTATTTTTTATATATTGTATACTGATTTACTTTGTGCAGTGTTTTCCATGAACCTAACCACTTTGTAAATCAAGAGTTTACTGTACATTATCATAACTATTTATATATTGATTTGAAAACCATCATGCGTAGCTCATGTTCATCTGTTAGCCCAAACTTGTGCTGAATGTATAAGGAATCTATGGAGATGTGTTTAACTGGCAAGAAGTCAGCTCACATTGCATTGCCATTGGCCATTTACTGGTGGAGGACATTTATTGTGTATCAAACTTAAGTGGCTGGAACACCAGTAACTTTGCAGTTAAGCATATACACTATATAAAGTGTCATAAATTAGATTTTGAATTTTACTGGACCAGGAAAATGTTTTTTTGTTTGGCTCCCACAGTTACATATTCAAATTAAATATTTTACAACCCAACATGAGAGTAAAAATTCCTCTGTGGCTGTTTGTTTAATGTAGTAAAGTGGGATGTTTTGAACATCACTTGGCATATAGTGCTTTGTATTAACATACTCTTCCTTAATTAGTAGACATTGATACAGTATACCTAAAATATTGTACATGCATTCATTAAATCCAAACTATAGTGAGTATTCCAAATTATACCTAAACTTTAGTTGAAACCCCCTTCTCTGTTACTGTATTTCCTGTATTTGAAATAACAGTGATGATAATTACTGATAATATTCAATATCTGCTTTCTGTCTATTTATGTCCCTGTGTCCTCATTACATCTCCCATTTCCACATTAAAGGCGCCATGACTCACATGCAGGACCTTCATCAAATGTTTTGGTCTTTGACCATCTCAGTATCACCAAGAAGTATCTAAGACCAACAACACTGACAAATCTCAAAACACTTGAACTAAAATTGTTGAGGAGCTCTGCATATGGGTTTAGCTAGGGAGTAAGTAAGGTAACCTCATTTCATTGCTACAATATGAAATGGGAATGTTCAGAAGAAAACAAAGAGTGTCGTAGCTACAGATGGCAGCAGGGAAGTATAAGGACAGAAGAGTATCAAAGAAATGGGGAAAGATAGATTATGGTTAGAAATAATGTAATGAAGTAAGAGGTAGATGTATGATAACATTGATACTTAAAGGCTAGCTACGGTTTTGAGGATTTTGTCAAACACAACCATGTGGGAGAAGCATTGTAAAGGTGGCCAAGAAAATAATTTTGTCATGTATGAAACTGAAATTACCACAGATAAGGGAACAAATGCCAAGTCACCTGTTCTGGATGATAGCCACTCCACCCCTCAGTGTCCTGTAATATTTCAGTACTGTACACTGTTTGAACACCGTGCATATCTATTTTTGCTATTGTCATGGCTTCTTATCCTTGGGTGACTAGTGCCATCCACGGCACCACTAAATAGTAAAGTTCTTATTGTTTAGATATTCTGTTTGTTAATTGCTCCCTAATATATTGGCAAAGTTGTTAACTGATTTATGAGATTTTAAGGATTACAAATTCAAGATGGAAATAAGTCAATTTTGAAGTGTTGTGGTAGTTACTCGGAGAATCAATCAAGCTTTCTGGTGTTGTGAGGTTAAAACTAATGCTGTATCTAAATGCTGATTGAAGAAACAAATTTGTGTGTGACGGTATAGTTGCTCATAGACCAGGAATAGTTTAGTTTTATATTCACGTTTTCACTGACACTCACAAAGCTTCCACTGCACTTAATCTGCAATTGTTCCTGTGGTGTGAAGTACTGTACTCCTTGTTAGTAACTCAGCCACCTTTTGTGCTGTTTGTCTTTTTCCTCTGACTGAAATGGATAACTTTTCTCTGAAGTTTTTAAGGAATAGACAGTATCCCAGGAGTGTAATAGTCCTGTTTCATCCTTAGAGGGGGACACAGAAATGCATGCTTTCCATGTCCATCCTTGCATATAGGAGTTGTAAACATGACAACTCAAACTGTTTGTATTGACTTTTATCCAAACTTGAGATGTTGATGTATCTCAAGATCTCAGATGACTTCAATTATTAACATTATTTATCACCATTGTCCAGTTTTGGCATTTTGGACTTTGGTGTGTCTTGGTAGAGGATGTTTCCAACTTTAGTGGCAACCTTATTGAAAGCTTAAATATGAAGGTTTTACTGAATTGGGAATTTTCCATTAGAGTAACTACCCTTTTTTTGTTATGAATTGATAACTTAAGCATTTAATATTGGTATAATATAATGAATATTCATTATGGATCTTGGGCATAAGTTTTTGTTTATTGTTTGTCCTTTAATTTCTTTTGCATTATTTCTCTAATGCATAAAGTAAAATATTTAATTAAGCAGCTTGCCTTGGAAGCAGTACCATGGAGGTGTACAGTGAGGCCTTAGTATCACATTTACAATTCTTTTGTCACATACATAACTGCTTCACCACCCCCTAAACTCCATACAATCTTTCAAACATTGCTGTTCTCTCAGTTTTCTGCATTATTTTGTCATCTGTGTTATCCTACCTTTATTTCCTCACTTTACATCTTGTTTATACTACACTGAGTCAAAGTCTGTCTTGATTGTCATTTTATGTTTTATACACAAAAGCAGATTCATGGTTCAGTTCTTTCTCCACAACAGTTTTTCTTTGGTCTAACTCTAAGAGCATTCCATAAATGTTCCTGCCAAGGGGAACATCAAGTCAACTCTTCCTATCAGGAAGCCTCTCCATCACAGCATCCCCCCAAAACTAAATCTTATGTTGGAACCCTTCAGAACATGGCTTAAGCCAGATTTTCTTTGCTACTGATAGTTTCAAATCAGCTTTATCTCTTTGACTTTTTACAGCATTTCCTCATTGGTCTTCCTTTCTAGCCATGACTTTCTCTCCATCCCTCTCCATATCAACATCTCAGTCTCTCCAATTATTTCAGAGTCCAGGTCTTGCCAAGCAAGGTTTTGACCAGCCTTTTCTTTGAGTCTTTCTGTAGCTCCCAGTAAATATTCTCTATTTCTTGTTAAGAACAGATTTCCTCGTTTGCAACCCTTGCTGTGATTGTTTCTTTAAATGCAGTCTATATTTATTACAAGCAAAGGGTAACTGCTTCAATTATAGAATAGCTAGATAAGGCTGCAGAATTCCCCAGCAAATTTTTCAACTTATTCTGTTGGATCTTGTTACTAAAGTGTGTGGAGATAATCAGCAACCGAAATATTGAAGGAAAGATCTTCCATGTGCTACTGTAATTTAATTGTTGGAAAAAGCTTACATTATGTAAATATAAATCTTTTATTGTTGAAGAAAGCTTACGTGACATACATAGATAGATATTGTGTTGTAAAACTAGCAGTGATTTATGATATTGTTCTGTACGTATTTGTAAATTGTTGTAGTTTGGTATTATTTTTAGAACTTTGAAATTTTGATTATGGTTCTTACTATTTTATTTGTATCATTTTACTATTAATAGGGTGGTGCTCTGCCTATGTCATCAAGCCTCATTTACTGGTCTTTCATTTTGAGGCAGATATTTAAATGCAAAGTTTGCAGTCAAATATTTGAAATTCATAATTATTACTCCAGTATTATGCTATATTTATTAGAAGTTGGTCTCTGATATCTTTGTGTCATAGACATTTGGTTAATTTTAGGTATGAAATGTACCTCGAGAGATTGCTGGATCGTATTCCTGAAGGGAAAGGCATCACATTTAGTGAATTCAAGTCATTCTGTCAGTTTCTCAACACCCTTGATGACTTTGCCATTGCAATGCGAATGTACACGTTAGCTGACCAACCTATTTCTCAAGGTGAGTTAATACAATTATTATTTTATGGGACTTAAGAATTTCAGAAAAGCCAAAAGTATGGGTAAGGGAATATGTGAGTGCAAGATGGATGTAAGTACTGTTTACAGGTATCCCTCTCTTAACCCTTAAGCCCCGGGTTAGGGTGCTGCTGGCAGTACCCCCCCCCCACGCGGGGTTAAATCAAGAAAAAATCAACATTTCCAAAAATAATAATTAAAAAAAAAATTGGTGGGAAAATAGGCGGACGTTCTGGAACATCACCCTGGGCCTAAGGGTTCACATAGTTTTGTAATAACATGGCTGAATAATTAGCCAACATATTTATATAAAGTTATCCATTATTCCATGTACTGTAATGTGGTTTAGAGTTTGGAAAAACTTTGAGGTTTTTAAAAAGATGTACAGTATAGTGGTTTGATTCTTTTAGTTATGAAAGCACAGTGTAAGGCTCTGTGGCTAGCCCAGTAGACTTACTCACTCTAGCTTTCAGACTGTATCCCTAACTCCACCACCATATATACTATGCTACTCAGATATACTATGAGTGGAATATACCTGTATGGGCATGTGTGTGAATGAAAGTTTAGAGATATTCAAAGAATTATTATGAAGCTTCTGTATTATCAAATGATTAAATTATGAAAACCACCATTGAAGGAACTTTTAAAATTGATGAACTGTTATGTACAAATTAACTCTATTCAACATCACCATGAACATATTTCTTGCATTACAGAGGAATTTCACCGAGCAGTCAAGATTTGCACAGGAGCAGAGCTGAGCCCACACATTGTTGACACAGTCTTCAAGATTTTTGATGATGATGGGGATGGTCAACTCAGTTACAAGGAGTTCATAGCTATAATGCGAGACCGTCTTCATCGTGGTTTTAAGGTAGGAGGAATGATGTTTATGGGTAAGATTGCAGGTGTGAGGTTATTTTCTCAGGTTGGCATGGTGTGGAGTCTGGTTTATGTGGTGTCCTATAACTTGTACACCTTCACCCCACTTACGTAATATGCAATCCTCTACTTCACTTTTAGGATCTTTTTATATTTTATTTTTATTTATTTATTTTTTTCCAATTAATTTATCATAGATAAAGTCACCCCTGTCATATAATCCCTGTGTCATAAGTTCATTGTTTTAGGGGAAATATTGTTACTGTGGTGTTGGGTACAACCTTCCTATTCCTCAAGAAATTACACTCCATTGTGAGGGCTTCATTAGGTATCAGTAATATCTCTTAATTGGTACTGTACTCATGATGAACATATTGAAATATATATTTTAAATGAGAAGAATGATTTTTAATGATACTGTAATGGCCAAAAAAGTGCTCACCTGTGCATTCAGCCAGAGCTTGTTAAGATTGACCCGTCAGATCTTAACATGATATACCGGTAACTCCTACTTGGAACCCAAGTGGCTTTCCATGTCCAGGAAAATTCTCCTTGAACCAATTGTCTTGGTTGCTGTGAGTGAAGTGGTGGATTGGGCAGAAGCACTGCAGACCCACATTTCTTTTAGGTCTCACCAACAAGATGTGCATCTTCCCTTTTCAGCAGACATAACTATACTTAAGGCTCATGTCCTTTCCCATTCATTTACTGAGAAAATTTTTACCAACCCCTGCTGACACTGCCTCTGACCAGCTCTTGAGTTACCCTTGTTTTTTGATTACCTGTTAGGGATGACATATTACCTCTTATCAGTCACACCTTTCTCATGAGTTCAGGTGCTTTTGCCTTAGTCCTTAACTTCACCTTATTCATCAAACATACAAGACACAGCTTGACACCATAGATCATAGTGTGTTGGATTAAGTTACCAACAATAGAATTTCAGATTTTCATTATTACTAATGACTAATCATCTTATATCATGATTCAGTTTTGTGTGTTTGTGCTTGTGTGACTTAAATGCTTAGTAATTTGTGTGAAATATATAACATACCTTAACAATGTGGCTTCCATGATTACCCCCGTGCAGCACACGTCCCGCAGCGAAGGTTGGGATGCATTCAAGCAGTGTGTCAAGAGTGAAATGAAGGCTGTTGTATGAAGAGGAGCCGTACTAAGTCTGAAGGTGGTGTTTTTCTTTGTATCAGCTACTTTACATTTTTAGACTGCATTATAGCATTGTCTTAGATATGGAATGGAAAGCTTGGTTCCTCCTTGTACACTAATCCTTGTGCATTTTAAATTATACTATCAGAAACTGGTATCTGGCAACTACCAGACTCGCTTTATTTTTGCTTAATTTTTTCGAGGTGGAACACAACTTTGTGAAATAGTAACAGAAATTAGTTCATAAATGCTACAGCATTTTTATAAGAATATTGTAAAAACAAATATTTTATTGAAAATTATAGTATATTTTGAATTAAAATAATATGACCTATGAGTTATCTCTCAAGGACATACAAGAATAATTTGCAGAGTTCTACAGTAATTGGACGTCAAAATGAAAAGATATACATTAATTGTGTTACGTTGAAGTGAATGTCAAATAAAAAATATGAATTGAAATAATATTTATGCTTACCATGTTTATGTCCTTTCTTTAATGAATATGTGAGGTGGGAAATGTTAACAAAACACAATTTTGGGCTTTAGATAAATTATATGCTTAAATAAACATTTCTTGTTACTTTTCCCTTAGTATTTATGAGAAAATTTATTGTCATTTATACTCTGAAGGTATTGTATTATTTAGCACCCAAGAATAAAATATAAAACATAAAGGAGTCCTGTTCAACAGTCATTTATTATGAATGAAAAAAAAAGTAAAACTTGGTATGAATTAAAAAAAATACAATAAAACAATTTTTTTTTTGCATATGAACGCTAGATACTCAAGACGCACATGAGTGACCACAACAGTCGTCCTTTGTTGTTCAATGGCACAGGACGTAACCTTGACCTACCGTATATTTCCCACCATTTTCTCGTGGCTTGTGCTGATTTACCGTTTATCACAGTGATTTAATTTATAGATAACAGGGTTTTCATAGTTTTGAACCATGCCTCGTGTTGCTGGCAAAGGTGGAGGGGTGGGAAAACGTAAAAAGTACAAGGAGATTACACCATGTGATGATAGTGTGGCCCCTGAGGCCTCTCCCAGTGTCACTGGCCCTTCTAGTGTAAGTGACAGTTTATCAGGCCCTTCAACAAGCAGTCCTAGTGTAAAGGAACTGCCCAGCATGTTGTTGTGGCTAAAAGGAAAAATAAAACAGTGTTGTACATGTGGCATCTCAGCCATCACAGCATGGCTTACCTCGTGACCGCTCATCTCCCTCACAAGTGCACACTATCTGTACTCCCACTAAAACTAGATATAGTCGCCTTGTTCAGGCTAAGTATGGCATGGAGGAGGGCGGGAGGGGAAGGGGGGAAAACACCAAGTGCTCCAACATCTAACAACATGTAAGTACAGGTGTATAAAAATTCATTTATTTTCATAATACATTTATGTAATATTTTTATGCATTACATTTAACCAATCATTTACAATTATTATTTCATTCAAATAGCAAAAATAATGAGCATTTAGAAATGCATTAGGTATAATTTATGTAAAAAAAATAGAAACTTTAAATGAGGAATATTCACATTTGGGAGCTTGAGTGCTTTGTGTTTTATCCTCTTCACCACTGGTTGGCTCATTAGCCGCTTGGGCGATCTGTCACGTCTCTGTTACACCCTGTTGGCAAGTACTGGGCATGCACCGGCTCCTAAATGTACCTGAACCTGCTCCAGTGTTGGTCAAGTCTGGTCTTGAAAGAACTCACATTCGGTGCCTCACAACACTTTCTGGCAGATTGTTCCAAGATTTCACAATTCTCACTCCAAAAAAGTTTGCCCTCACAGTTTTCTGGACTTGCGGCTTCTTCAATCTTGAGCTGTGACCCCTTGTGGGGCGAGCGTCCGCCAGCTCCAAGTAAAGACACTCGACTGAGTAATGCCCCTTGAGATGCTTATATACCTCAATTAGGTCGCCCCTTGCCCGTCTGTAGTATAAGCTAGGTGAGTTCAGGCTCTCCAATCTCTCAGGGTAGTTGAGGTGCCGAAGTGCAGGCACCAGTCTGGTGGCCCTCCTTTGAACATTTTCAACCAGCTGATAGTTCCTTCCTAGCATATCTCGGGGTCCAGATGGGGTGACAGTACTCCAGATGAAGAAACACTTCACTCTTGAAAATCGTTATGAGGGACGGACCGTCTAGATATCTGAACAACCTTCTTATAAGACCCAATAATTTATTTACCTGATTTACCTTCTTCTCGCAATGACCTGAGAACTTCAGCTCATTGTCAACATACACACCTAGGTCCTTCTCACATTCAGTCTCAAATTGTGCAGTTTCTTCATCCCGTTGGGCCATTTTCTTCGACCATTCTTGGAGCTCACAGAGATCCTTCTGCAGCTCTTCATAGTCCGCATGGTTCTTGATTTCCTGAAATAACTTGGCGTCATCGGCAAACATTTGTATGGAGGAGTGTACAATATCAGGCATGTAATTTATGAAACAAACTAACAACAGCAGGCCCAATACACTGCCCTGCGGTACCCCGCTGTGACAGGTACATATGATGGTTTCGTGCCATTAATCGCCACACACTGCTTGCGGTCATGTAGAAAGTCTTCTATCCACGCTAAGACATTTTCCCGAATTCTGTACCTTTCCAGTTTGATTTTCAGCCTTTCGTGGGGTACACTGTTGAAAGCCTTAGCAATATCTAGGTATATATTGTTGATATTACCACTACATCCCAGAATATGGGTCTAAATATCCAATACCTTGAGCAATTGTGTTAAGCAGGAGCTCCCCAGCATAAAACCGTGTTGGCAATCCTTTACAAGGTTGTTTCGTAGTCGATGTTCCATCGCGGCATCTCTGATAATACTCTCAAGTACTTTACATATTATGGTGGTCAGGCTCAGTGGTCTATAGTTGTTCGTGAAGTGATGATCGCCCTTCTTGAAGATAGGACTCACATAAGCCATTTTCCAATCACTGGGGACCTTTTGTACATCCAGGCATTTACAGAACAGGTTCTTCAGGGGCTCGGCAAGCTCGTTGCACAACTCTCTTAGCACTCTGGGATGCACCATGTCAGGGCCGGGATTCTTATGGACCTTTAGCTTTGACAGTTTATTTCTAATACCCTCTTCTGTGAACACTATGTGGGTCAGTACTGTGTCAAACTGTCTGTCTTCAAACGCAGGAAAGATAATTGCATCCTTTCTTGTGAACACCGAGGAAAAGAAGCTGTTCATTGCCTCAGCTTTATCCTGGTCAGAATCTGCGTAACTATCATCTTCAAGCCTCAGGTCTGATACTCCTACTCACGTTTTTAATTTCGACTTTGCATAGCGGTAAAATGCCTTTGGGTTTGACTTGACCTCACTTGCAACCAGCCTTGGGAACTCCTTTTCAGCCCTTTTACACTCTATCTTTGCTTGGTTTCTGGCTCTTACATATATCCTCCTGTCCTGCTCATCATTTGGCCCAACCCACGTCTTGAATTTCTGGGTTTTCTTCTTAACTTTGTCGATTGCCGCACAGTTCATGTGTAGGGATCCCCTCGTATTCCTAGAGGCACTGGGTTTGGTCTTGGGTATATATTTATCGTTCAAATGGGTCACTTTACTAGTTATGAGTCAAGCCAGTGGATACCCCTCATCTCTTCCCTCATCCCATTGTAATTTCCCTTGTAATATTTGCACCTTGGCTTGGCCTTATCTTGAACTAGGTAACAGTTAAATCTGAATGACAACACTATATGGTGACTGATGCCAACTGGGGCAAGGTGTTCCAGTTTGGCCACCATACCCTCCTCATTTGTTATGATGAGGTCTAGTGGCTTGGGCGTTTGCTCCCCTCTGTAATGTGTCGGGTCTCTAACATGTTGGAACAGAAAATTATCTCAAGTTTCTACAAAAAGAGTAGCAGGGTTATTCAAGTCATTTGGGATGAACTCGTTTCTCCAGTCGATGTTGCCATAGTTAAGGTCCCCCATGATAAGGAGGTGGCTAGGGTTGAGCATCGCTGCATCGTCTATTAAGGCTCTTAAGTTCCTTTGATTTAGTGGGCCACAGTTTGGGATCTGTAGATACACCCGACAATAAGTAAGTCCCCTCCCTTTAATTTAATTTTACACCACTTGGACTATTCAAAAACATCCTCTCCCTGTACCCTCACCTGGTTGGCTCTAAGGTCTTGCCTAGCATAGATAACCACACCCCTCTTGCAAGTTTCTTGAGAAAGGTTTGTAAATGAGTCATATCCAGCAATTCTGAACTCGCATTCCTCTGGGTCGATTCTCCTGTTCTTGTACAACAGTTCTACAATTCCTACAATATTGGGTTGCTGTACCTTCAGAAGTGTTTCAAATTCCTCTCTCTTATCAAGGAATGTGTCAGTATTAGTGTACATAGCATTCAAGCCAGAATTTGTTCTTGGTAACGTCTCTGCTCTTTAGTAATAACTCCGGCCCCCCTCCATTCTCAGAAGCTGCAGCATTTGCAAAGTACACTGTATTTTGCAGAGTGTAGTTAGAAATGTCATTGTTTACACAGCGATCGCCTCCTCCCAGCTGGTAGGTGGAGCTGGTGCCACCTCCCAGGTGGGAGATAGAGCGGGTGGAGGATGTGCTGCTGCCCCCTGGCTCTGTGTCGGCACACTTGCTTCCACTACCCTCCCCCTGAATATAACCCATGTACACCCGTCCCCGTTCCTCCTTGATTCCTCCCTTTTCTGCTTCAAACCCTGCAAGAGCTTCTTGTGCTGTTCCCTCTGTATTACCATGCGATCTGGGTGAATGAATACACTCCGAGATGCCTCGCTCCTTGCTAAGTTTTTTGCTTGCTGAATAACCTCCTATTTCTCCTTCTCACTCACCAGTAAGATCCTGAGGGGGTGAGGCTTATCCCCCTGCTTTTGCCCCAGCCTCCTCATATCCTGAGGGGTTGATGGCATCTTCAGAACCTCTGTACAAATATTCTTAAGCTGCATCTTATCGTGTGTTATCCTACTCTCAGTTCCCTCTGCCTGGCTCTCAAGGACTCCAAAAACTATTACAATGTTCCTGCGCTGGAAACGTTCCCGTTGTTCCTCAGTTCTTCAGAGTCCCTAGCAGCTGTAGAACCTGTTCTGATCCTGCATTACTCTCTGCCACCTACCATGGCCCTGCTAAGGCCTCAGCATAACTCCTCTTAACAACCACCTCCATTCTATCAGCTATTTCCTCAGTCTTAGCAAGGATCTCTCTCCCAACTTGTTCTAGTTTGGCAACCAGCAAGGCTCCAGCTTCATCTATTTTCATCCTTAGGGAACTCGTTCCCCTATGGCTTGCAATCGCCTCTTTCACCTTGACTATGCAGTCAGGGCAATACCAGCAACAGCCTTCATGCTTTATGGCAACTTGCATCGTCCTAAACACTGCATTGGTCAGGCCTGTACCATCTATATCTGTTGCTCCCCTACAGTAATCACATATCATGCCCCTCATGGTTGTTGCTGTTGTGGAGGGGAGGGGGTGGGGGGGGTTGGAGTGCAGACTGTGTATAGATCTACACCTATTTTAAAATAAAGATGGAAAAAAAAAACAGTACTTAGCTGCCCTCTACTGGTTTTAATTTCCCCTGTTGCCTTTAGAGTTGTATTCTGTTTTTCTTCTTTTTTTCCAGTTCACTTCGGCAATTTGTCGGTATCTATGTGCTATCTTTATGTACACTGCATTTTGCTATGAATAACGGATTTTATACGCCCACTCAGTACTTTAGAAACAAGGAAAAATAAAATATAACTTTTAGGATAGCCAAGCTTGTTGATTTTTATTTTTATTTTTTGTATTTTAACTATTATTTCCTCATACTTTCTTTTCCAGTTCTCATCAACGACTATATCTCTTTGTGCTATCACTGTGTACACTGTATCTCCCTGTGAATGGTGTATTGTAGGCACAGTTTCAGTCCTTGAGAAAACACACAAACAAATTAAAATTAAAAGTCTGTGGCACCTATAACACGACCTCTTCCGCGGTCACTGATTTAACAAAAGGCACAGTACTACACTCCCTGGTTGGCCTTTATCACAGCCGTGACCACAACTCCGGAAAAAAAATATATAAAAGTTTTGTCATATGGCAATGATTTTGTGGTTGTAGGCCTCTTGACCTGGGCTGTACCTTCAACTCGGTAGAGATAGAGTTTTCAAAAATACAATTGCGCATAGCATTAAAAATCCTACATCGATTTACACTTTCACATCACTAAGACGATCTTGATGTTCTTATGTAATCACTGTCCAATTTCTGCCGCTCAACAATGAAGGCACCAAATGCCGAACACGCTTGTTACAGAGACGCAACACGACCCGACCCGCAACAACCCCAAAGCACTCATGCACTACAATTTGTGTTATACTGTCACTTACGTATAGACTTAATCATTTTATTGTGATTACCTATTTAAAACCATTTATAGATAATGTATTACAATGCTAATGCAACAAACTCCACCTTTTTATCTCTTAATAGCAAGCTTGCTATGACTCATTTTGTACAATTATCTCTCCTGTAGTGCAGTCAAGTGTGGTGAGGTGAGTAAACAGCCAGACCCCGAGAGTCTCGCCGGAGGCCACCTCCTTAAACCCAAGAGTGTTAACTGATGTAGTTTTTACTTGTATGGGAATTTTTAGGGTTCTTAAATAAAAAAATCACCTTGTATTATAGGCTTTTTTCCTGTTACAGGGTATTGTTATTATTCATACATTTAAGTTGGTCAGTTTTATTTTCAATATTGTTACCATAATTTTTTCTAGAACAGTGTAATATCAAAATACGCTGTCCAAGGTTAATTTTTATATTTAATACTAATAAATAACCCAACAAATCTGTTCTTTCAGCAGCAACAAGTGAGGGAAGGCTGGGAAGGTTTCAAGGCATGTGTGAAGGAAGCCATGAATTCTGACCAGCCCCAGCAGTCAAGTCTCACATAAAGGAAGCCATGAATTCTGACCAGCCCCAGCAGCCAAGTCTCATGTAAAGGATTCTTGTGATCATCCGAGTGGTCAGGTACTGCTTACAGTAAAGGATTTTGGTTGTCATCTCTGGTGCATGATGTGCTAGAGTTGTCACAGTCTGGTACACCATTACCTAGTTTTATTGCAGAATCTCATTAACTATACAAAAGAAGTCTGATTAGTGATTGGCTTTAAATCAAACTTAAAGAGTTATGATTGCTAATTGATTTTATGTATTTATGTATGTCACATGTATTCAATGCTGGGGTGCACTTATAGAAAATCAAAATCTTTTTGACGTTCTCACAGAGTTTGTCGGATATTAACTCAGGTGAGAGTTGTCTCTGGAGTCTGGGGACTTGACATGACGCACAGACAGTCATGAAGTGCCCCTCCAACTCTTTCTGGCTGAAAGTCAAACTTGCATGTTCTTTGTTGGGAGTTTAAAGCATTACCATGAGGTATGGCTCTATATCTTTTACTCATATAGAATCTTTCTCAAGTAATTTTGGGGCTTTCAGGTTGTACCATACATGATTAGTCCTTGTGGTACTGTATTGTAAGAAAAGACAAAAGATCGGAAGGTGGTGGTGAGAGAGAGATTCCTGTTATGGAGCTCCTCTTCCAACCCGATTGAGCTGACAACAATATGTTTCACAAGGAGATAGAGAAATTTGTTTGTCAGGTATGTAAAGCAGAATGACAGGCAGTAGCTAAATGTGAGAACATGATTGTCAGTGGCTGAACTGTATGGAGGAAATTGTGTATGGCTAGGTCTAATGTTCCACGGAAAAATATATATACTCTGTATATACTGTATATACAGTATAGAAGATGGCTATACCTCAATTGCTGTCACTTCTCTTCTAGATACTGTACTGTTGGAACGGAGAGTCTTGGCAAACTTGAGTGTAAGTCTGCCATTTGGGTTTGAGATGTGCTTTGGGAGCAGGCTGACTGTGCTGACAGCAATTCTTGGGAGAGTTATGTGACTTTTATAATTTGGCCCTCTTTAAGTTCTTATACCTAAGAGATTCTGTTTAATTATAACTATTGTTCAGCATAGAAACACAAATTTTACTGTGAAGTAAAGCAGGTATATTCAGGGTTACCAGCAATATATTAACATAATTCTCTGAATAGGTGAAAATCCATATCTGAAGAGTGCATTCATCATTATTTCAAATTACACATCATTTGGCTTGGGCTGGGAAAGAGGCTGGGCCTTCCATCTCCCCAAACATATTGGTGGATTCTCACAAAGGTAGTGACACAACAATATGGTACAAACCAAGATTTACTGTTATAAGCTAATTTTTACATGATTTTTTGGTTGTCATTAATATCTTTCTCTATATGTTTATTAAAATATTGGGATTATGAAGAAGTGATAATTATGAATGGAGATAGGTCAGGTAGGGGCTAGTAATGTAATAATATTTATGCCCAGTTAAAGTTCTTATTTTGTACCCTAACAAACTTTATCTTTGCTGTTAATGATTGAAGATTGATTGTATACAAATAAAAATAATAATTCTATTTCCTCTCTTCAGCAACAGTAAAACATTTTTTTTGTGTTTTCAGCTTTTCTATTTCCATGATTTATTGGTACAGGTTGACAACCCTTTATCCGAAATTCCAAAAACCGAAAAGCTCTGAAAACCGAAAGTTTTTTTGTGGAGCAATTTTTTTTTTTTTTTTTTTGTAACAGCCCACAGGTCACTGACCCACATTGGGGCCTGGGGGGTGAAAATGTAATAGTAATAATAATTATAATAATAATAATAATGATAATACAGTAGTAATAATAATTATTCATAGTAAATAAAAATTTTAATAAAAAATACACAAAAATAAAATAAGAATGATAACAATAATGATAATAACAATAATACTGTAATAATAAAATAATAATAATAATAATAAAGAAATACAGTACAAGAATGATAAAAGATCAAAAGTGAGAAACACGACCTAGACCTATGAATTATTATTATTATTATTATTATTATTATTATTATTATTATTATATTTAGCCCCTGTGCCCCAATGTGGGTCAGTGACCTGTGCCCGGTGGGGCTTGATCCCTGTAAAAAAAAAAACCTACCCATTCTGAAAACTGAAAAATTCCAAAAACCGAAATGCATCTGGTCCCAAGGATTTCGGATAAGGGATTGTCAACCTGTATGAATATTTTATTTTAAATGTTTACTGTATTGTACTTCATCTTAAATTTATCATTCTTGTATTATCATGATATAGAATTAACCATTTAAAGCAGGTGAAACAGTTGGTCTCTTCAGCTTGGCATATTCTTTGTTTCAAGTGGACATTTTAAGTGGAGACATTGGAAGGGTATTTCCATTACCAGTAACCTAAATGCCACAACTTGACGTACTAATACATCAACAGTTTCCCATTTATCTTGCTTTACTGTTTGAATGAGATGTTATCACACTGCTTCACTTTGTTATTATTCTCGTAGTACAATGGAATGGTTTACCTCCTGTGATAGAATTTTCTTCCTTGTGTGTGTGTCTCAGTAACAGCATGTAAGATTGTGCATTAACACACAGTTCTTGGGTTCAAGAACATTCAGGGTCTGAACATAAAGCTTTTTCACCTGTGGATTGCCAGACTTCCTCTCTTGAGATATATCATTGGTAGTTTAATGCTAAATAAACTGGAAAAAAACTCCATTGGTATAGTAATTTTGTCACATAATTGTGAATTAAAGATATTGTACTAAGAAATGGAGCTATTTAATTAGAAGAAATATGTAAAAGGAATTGAATTTAGAGCCTTATTGATGTGGATAGCCAAAGATGATTTTATATTTGTCTTGTGTATTAGCTACTGGTATTAATGTCCATTAGTATTTTAGTGATTATATTATGATTATTGGGCAGTACTATAGGCACCAGCTATAAATTATTATAACTTGTTATTACCAATGAATTTGTCACCTTATTTTGGGGGTAGAATTTAGATTATAATAATGTAACTTAAAATACTGTATCATGTGTTCACATTGTAAAAAATCTACTGTATTGAGGTTATTAACCATAGCTCAAGAGTTTGTGGAACACTTTGTTAATCTTCAGCTTGTGTTTGTGATACAAGGACTGTTGTTTCCACCCTTCAAATGAATTTCTAGCTCTAGCTTTATTATATTTTACCAAATGACAGGTTATCTTACTGAATGACTGGTTTATTTAATCCAGTGACTGATTTATTGGACAGGCAAGAACAATATAATGTCTGTCATCTGATTTTTACAACTAGAGTTCTTAATAGTTTTGTTTTCAGTATTTTACAATGTCATGAAATTAATTTAATTAGGAAATTTATATACTGTAAGATGGGGTGACTTTGGACAGTGTTTGAGGTTTTTTAAGCTGCCATTTTAAGTTTGAAGACTAAAAGCATTTGTTAAGTATGCTATTGGTGCATCAACTAATGGGCTATCCATAAGTGTCAACAGAAATTCAGCAAACAACAGACTTTTCCTGTGAAAGTTTGAAGTGACTTCGGACAACAGCGTTAATTCAATGGCTGTACCTGTTAGAGCCTGGTCAGACAGTCTGAGGGTGTTTTTAGGCATTCGTGAACTCAGGAAGTACAAAATCTGCAGCAACAAAATTACATGTGCTGTATGAGGTACCGGTGCTCAGTATGCATGTACCTGCCACTTGTTTTACCCCCCCAGCTGTAGATTAGTTCTATCATTGTACTGTATTGTTATCAGTACCATGCATAATGCCATTACTGTACAATTTTTATATCATGCAATCTTGTAAATATGCATGAGTAATATTTGGATTGTGTCTCCCAAGTCGTTTTTGAGCTGCCCAAAGTGACCCTAGGTTGAAGAAAATTTTCACATACCGCCATTCAACTTTTCATCTCACATTTTCAGGTTTATAGGATATGTCAGGCACCCCAAACTGTTTCAAAATTTTCACGATAGACATGTTTCTAATAATTTTACTGGTATGCTCCTGCCAAAAAAAGTTTTGCAACTAGTAAATGATATTCACACATGAAAACTATATAGTTAGGGCAACAGTTTAATATCACGAAAACTTTACTTGCTGTAACTGTCTACATGCTGTTGTCTCTTCAACATTTTTTCCAAAGTCACCATGTACAGAGTTACCTCATCTTTTGGTATTTTACTAAAATAAACTATTATACACAACAAAAAGCACAAAGAAATATATATATACAGTGGTACCCCACTTAACGCGGTCAATTGAACCCAGAGGGTCCCGCGTTAAGTGAAAACCGCGTTAAGTGAATAACAGAACATATGGGATTAATTCCAATAGAACCCAGCCCGACCCCCAAACTCCACTTTTTGACGACAAATAACTATGTTGTAGTAAAAATTCTATCTTAACTTTACATGGTACATGCAATAATAATTAATACTTATGAGAAATAGAGAAATACAGTCACAAGTTAATGTCCATTCAAATAATGGACTCAACTCCCTCCCCCTTCTCACACTACACCCACTGGCCTCTTCCCTCTGGTGGAAATTTTTGGGAAAACCAGGTATAGTAATAAATAATCTCAAACTAAAGCTAGATGGGCTATAATTGACATTGCTGGATTCCTTGTAAGACCAAGAATATTTTGAATATAAATGTCATATATTTTGGACAAAAGATAACATAATTACCTAGAGAACAATTTTTATCTAAAAATTGTATGTTTAATGCAAAATATATGTTGTTTATATTCAAAATGATCAGCAAATTGTAAGGATTCCAGCTATGTAAATTATATTCTGGCCGGATAATTTGTATGAATTTTATGAGCTAAAACAAATATCTTCAGTTAATAAAAAAAAAAAAATATTCTTCGACACTATCTGTCAATCAAAGTACCCCACCTTGCCTTCCCCCCCTCTTCCAACCGTGTGGTCAGTCCCAACCCTCCCCCCACCCCCACCAATCCTCCATTCAAGAGTTTTTAACATTTAGTATTAAATAATACCTCAGATTAAAGTTAGGATAATATAATTGACATTGCTGGATTCCTTGTAAGACCAGGAATATTTTGAATATAAATGTCATATATTTTGGACAAAAGATAACATAATTACCTAGAGAACAATTTTTATCTAAAAATTGTATGTTTAATGCAAAATATATGTTGTTTATATTCAAAATGATCACCAAATTATAAGAATTCCAGCAATGTAAATTATATTCTGACCGGGTAATTTGTATGAATTTTATGAGCTAAAACAAATATCTTCAGTTAATAAAAAAAAAAATAATTCTTCACGGGGTAACAGATGGTCGGTCGGTCGGTCCCTCCCTCCCCCCCACCCCCCACCCCCCACCCCCCACCAACCGTCACAAGGAGATGTGTGGGATAACCACTAAATTTTAATACTTTTAAATTTTTATCTAAAATTAATTTAAATATATGTTGTTTGAGAATCAATGATCATCAATGTCTGATAAGAATTCCAGCAATGAGCTGTTGGCACTACTGTGTGTATATATATATATATATATATATATATATATATATATATATATATATATATATATATATATATATATATATATATATATATATATATATATATATATATATATATATATATATATATATATATATATATATATATATATATACACACAGTATTACCCCGCTTAACGCGCTTTCACTTAACGCGTTTTCGCATATACGCGGTGCCTTGCCAAAGCTGAACTTTCACTTAACGCGGCATTTTTCATCATATACGCGGTGAGTGTCCGGCTCGAGAGCTATTTTTAGATTCGCACCACCCCCCACCCGCCACCCTGCCTGACTGCCTGTTTTAGCTCATAAAATTCATACAAATTACCCAGCCAGAATATAATTTACATTGCTGGAATTCTTATAATTTGGTGATCAT